AAAGTCAGTTACACAATGAGCCACGTGCGGGCGAGCATTGTCCTGCATTAGGAGGAAATTTTCTCCGATATATGGGGCAAATGGTACTACATTATCTTGCAGAACATCTCGTATGTACCTATCTGCAGTTAATGCACCGCCATCAATCACCACCAACTCCGTGCGGGCCCCTAAACATATGCCACCCCACACCATAACTGACCCTCCACCGAAAGAGACAGTAGGAGTAAAATTAAATTGTTCATGTTGTTCTCCAGGACGCCGATACACTCTTTCCCTGCCATCGATCGAATTTACGCAGAAACGGCTCTCATCCGTGAACAAAACTCGACCCCACTGATCTTCGTTCCAATTTTGGTATTCTCGAGCAAACGCTAGTCGAGCTACTCGATGACGTCTCTGGAGTTTTGGGGCTTTTTTTGAACTATACGACTTTATATCAACTTCTTTTAACCTTCTTCTAACTGTACGCTCACTTATTCTGGTTCCACGAACCTCTTCCAGTGCATTTCTTGTTTGAAGTGCCGTCTGGCGTCTATTTCAAAGTGTTTGTAATGTTATAAACCGATAATCTACAGCTGTGGTTGAGCGTTTTCTGCTTTTACCTCGTCTTCTAATATACTCCCCAGTTTGCCTCCAACGTGTAACATTTCGATGGATCGTCGATTTTGATTTTCCAAACATCCCTGCAACATCACTGTAAGATCGACCATTTTCGATCATTGCTGCAGCCCTAGCGATATCACTCATTGTGGACTTTTTCACAGTCAATGTGACTATAGTAAGCCACAACCAAGTAACAGTAAGCAATTGATTGTAAAAACAACTAACTTTTATCAGAAATTAACGAACACCTTTCCCACTTAATGCAGCAACTAAGGGATGTTTGACGTTAATTTCGATTTTGACGTGGACTAACTTGATCAAAATTTGCAAAATATATAAAAAATTTACTAATAAATGTAAGGTTAGGCCGTACAATACAGTACAAAATAGTAGATTATGTCATAAGGAGTAGAAGTGACTCTTTTTGTGGTGAGTACAGAGATTGCCTGCCTCAGCTACGCTTCGGCCGCCAATCTCTGTACTCACCACAAAAAGAGCTTCTACTCCAAATAACATATACAATTTTTTTTTCAAGGGCGTAATATAAATAGGATAAGCAATAGAATTATTTTATTTACTCATAATTTATGTGGTATAAAATTTTGGCTAAAAGCATTATAAATTATTGTTAAAAACTAAAAAAACTTATAACCCTTACTTACAATGCCGATAAATATCCTAAACCATAGATAACAAAGCCTTTAACTAAAAATAAACACTGCTCTGTCAAAATGCTGCGCTTGAATTAATTTTGACGTACTGACATTTGTTTGGAGTTCCGACATTGGCGACTCGTCTATCATCATAATATTATACTAATAAACCGTTTGTTCTTTGTTTCGTTCAATTAAAATTTAATAAATAATCACTAAATATTCCGTGCGATTATAATTAATATAATTAATACATCGTGATTGCTTTGTATGAAATGCTAAATTAATTTTATTATTTGACGTCTATTGAGACACCTATGGATTTACTTCTATCCCTAGGCTTTTTTGAGTTTTTTGTCTGCCGCTAATGAAAAAGACGCACTTCAACTATCTCTATATAGGCATACAAGGTTGTATATCATGGCCGCTTGAAAAAAAAACTAATTTTGCAGCACAACTAGAAAAACCAAAATTTTTATACGTTCCTTTAAATTTGCCGGTGTGTGTAGTTACGTTAGTTTGTGTATTTTATAAAAGGGATCATGGTGAATTATTGTGTTTTTAATTGTAAATAAAATTCAAGAACTAAATCGTTGCATTTTCATGTTTTGCCAAAGAATCCAATTCGGTAAGTTTACATTTGTTGGTGCAGAATTAACTAATGATAACTTTACCTAATATAATTTATATTTAAGTTTGGACAGTTTTAAGAAATTAGTAAAAAATACAAACATAACCTTAAAATCAATCATTTTTATATTTGAGTTCTCTAAAAAACTCCGACAACTGCATTTTAAACAACAAAATATACCTACGAATTCATGGCAATATAATATTATATATAATACATAATATAATGGTATTTTACCATTGAGTGGAGACTTTAAAGAATTCTTAATCAACGCTTTTAATAATGTTTAAATGTTTAAATTTAGACGACTTATTTGTTTGATGATTTTTACTGAATTAAAATGTTTACACTTTTCACGTTAATCACTACTAAAACGTGTATTTATTGTATCTAATAGGTACAATTTATATTTACAGAGACTGTATGCAATTTATTTCTTCATTTAGATTAACACTGTTTATTGGAAAACCGGTAAAAACTCAACCCAGGATTTCCTCTCGAAATACACCCAACAACACAACAAATCGATCCACTGTTTTTTTTTCGATATTTTTTAACATTTTCCGGCTTTATTCTCAAAAACACTCGTTTGTAACCCAAGCGTTTGACAGCTGATTATTAAAAGTTCAACTTTTGTTACGATGATAACAGCCGAGTGGTGGCGCTACTAGCGATACTTCTTTAGCCTATACCCTTAAAAAATATTTTTTTTTAAATTACATTGACCGACTGATTTTTAAACCAGAACATTTCATTTTAAATGCCAGATTTATAAAAACTTCTAAACTAAAAGTTTTCTGCAATATTAAGGTTATACATAAATACGAGGTAATTTTTCTCTTTATGTCATCTAAAAACACAATATTTTTCCATGACTATTTCCCTCGTCTTAATTTCCACCAATCACAAACGCGCAATTTTGAATTACAAAAGGTTTCTAGGTGAAAAAACTATGACAGCACCTGTCAGCAGTTTTTTCGAGTTTACCTGCGGCAAAACTTGAGAGCTGTTGTCAACAAAAATTTCAATTTATATTTTAATTGTTAACTGTTGCTCATGAAATAGTCTTGTCAAATACCATTCGGGCATCTAATTTTTCCTGTGAAAAAAAATCGAAAAAACACAATGCTAAGTAATATTTTTTAACAAAATGCATTCGTGCAGGTGCATAAATCCTCGTCTTCGACTCGTATTTTTGTTGCCACCAGCACTCATGCGTTTTGTTAAAATATTACTTAGCAACGTGTTTTTTTTTTCGGAAAAATTAGATGCCCTTATGATATCACTTACGAAAAAACTGTGTGACAGCACCTGTCAGCAGTTTATTCGAGTTTACCCGCGGCAAAACTTGACAGCTGTTGTCACCAAAAATTGCAATTTATATTTTAATTGTTAACTGTTACTCATGAAATAGTCTTGTCAAATACCATTCGGGCATCTAATTTTTCCTGTGAAAAAAATCGAAAAAACACAAAGCTAAGTAATATTTTTTAACAAAAAGCATTCGTGCAGGTGCAAAAATCCTCCTCTTCGACTCGGATTTTTGTTGCCACCAGCACTCATGCTTTTTGTTAAAATATTACTTAGCAACGTGTTTTTTCGATTCTTTTCGGAAAAATTAAATGCCCTTATGATATTACTTACGAAAAAACTGTGTGACAGCACCGGTCAGCAGTTTTTTCGAGTTTACCCGCGGCAAAACTTGACAGCTGTTGTCGCCAAAAATTGCAATTTATATTTTAATTGTTAACTGTTACTCATGAAATAGTCTTGTAAAATACCATTCGGGCATCTAATTTTTCCTGTGAAAAAAATCGAAAAAACACAATGCTAAGTAATATTTTTTAACAAAATGCATTCGTGCAGGTGCAAAAATCCTCCTCTTCGACTCGGATTTTTGTTGCCACCAGCACTCATGCTTCTTGTTAAAATATTACTTAGCAACGTGTTTTTTCGATTTTTTTCGGAAAAATTAGATGCCCTTATGATATTACTTACGAAAATTCATCGGGATTTATTTATTACCCCTTCTACTTTAATCGAGAGTTGATATTCTAGAATCGTTTTTCTATTATAATGAATTAGAAATGTCCAATAAACTTAATTTAAATATGAATAAAATTTACGATTATTTTCTAAATAAATGGGATATCTTTAAACCAGGAAAAAACTTTTAATATTGAATTTCATCCATATGGAGCATATTACAATAAAAGTCACTTATTAAATTAAACAATAAAACAATTAAACAAGTTTCATTTACAAAATTGTTAGGTGTTAATATTGATATGTAACTAAATTGGAAGGAGCAAGTTAATCTGGTATGTACTAAGTGTAGTAGTGCATGCTATGCTCTTAAAAGGTTATAAATATTTCTAATGCAAAAGTGGTAAAAATGTTCTATAACTCTAATATAGAATCCTTAATGCGTTATGCTATCATATTTGATAGCACAATATATTGTGGGGAAACTCTATAACATATTGTGGGGGAAACTCTATAACATTTTGAAATCCTTAAGTTTGTTAAATTAAATTTAAATAAGTTTAAGTTTCAAAATGTACACCACAATTATGGTACACGTAGAGGTAACGAATTACAATTTGCTTTGCACAGAATGGAACTGTATAAATCTAATCCTTTTTATATTGGATCTGTATTATATAATAAACTTCCATTATCGATTAGAGACTTACCAACTTCAAATTATTTATGTCAAATAACAAAAATTCTTATTGATAATGCATTTTATTCTGTAAATGATTATTTGCAGTGTCATATTTAACTGATTATAAAATATTGTACTTTCTGTATTTAGTTCAGTTTCATTGTATGTTCTATTTTCTGAATGGTTTGGGTAATATAATGTAATTTTTTGTTGTTTACTTGTCCTATATCGTGATTTGATCTACTGGATGAATAAAGATATTATTATTATTATTATTATTATTATTATTATTATTATTATTATTATTATAGTGGGATATTTCAATCAACGGTAGTTCTATTATTAATTTTCTTGGTTTACTTTTTACTACCCTAATCTGTTTTTTATAATTCTTTTTTATAAAATTATGCATTAGCCCATTTATAAAGAAAATTTTTTTTAGGTTAAACATGGGGGAGCCGTTTACCAGCGACTTTAAAATTACGACGCGGGAGCCAAGCTTCGTTCTGCAGAACGCCGATCAGGACGATAACAAAATGAAAGCGCATTCTTCCAGTAAGCTTTTGCCTACTTTATGAAAACGACCTGAACGCCTCACTTATTGGTGATTTTGTTTTAGTGACCTGTTCCTCGAATATGACTCCCCGTACATTATCCGCCAACGTTTTGGCCGCCCTCGAGGGAGTCAGATTTATCGCACAGCACATCCGTGACGCGGATAAAGACAACGAGGTAAATGTTATATTGTCCCAATAAAAGTGGGGGCGCTTCACGACCCGTTTACTTTTCTGCATTAACACCGTGTTTAAAACACGCGCACAGAAATAAACATGTCGTGTACAATTATTTACAAAAAAAGATAACGTATGAGAGGTCCTTTGGTAAAAAGATTTATCCTAAAGTGGTAATTTATCTTATATAAATGCCCTATTTCTTGCAGAGAAAAGCATTTTTTTTTATGAGTGGTCGTCATACGCAGGGGCGGCTCGTGGTCAGTGGGGGTAGGGAGGCTAATAAAGTACCAGTACATTTTTAGACGCATTTGCATTTGCCATCGTTTTACTTGTCTATTTTACTAGTCAATTTCCATTAAATTTTTCATTAGAAAACTAATACACACATTAAAAACAAATTTTATCTTTAATTTGTTATACAGTGTGGAACTTACTTATGGAATAAAGTTCGTTATTCGTTGAGAAAAGATTTTTATGAAAAACGCTCGGACATGTAAACTTAAGTTTTTTATTCCAAATCTTATAATGATAATTTTAAATTTTATGCCCCCACCATTTCCCCCCCTCCCCCGCACATTAGGCACCCTTATCTTAAATAACAACCCCACTTTTTTTCATCGAAAATTGATAGTGCACATTTTTTTGAGTACGACGATACCACATAAGTAGGGTTTTGTAACCATAATTTTCAATACAGGGTGAATATTTAAAAATTACAAGTATAAATTTTTTATTGTTATTCTATGATTTAGTTTCTTGTGTTGTGGCTGTCGTATATTTAGATATTCATGTTTTTTCGCTTTGTTATTGTTTTTTTAATGCCATTTTTTGCGTTTGTCCTTTTTGCATTGTTTACATTTTTATTATTAATGAAACATTTTGCGCTTTACTTATTGAGGTAAAGCGCAATAACAGGAATGTTATTTCTTCTGCAGATATTCTTTTTTCTGATGAATCAACATTTCTATTAAATGGCGAGGTAAATAGACAAAATTGCAGGTACTGGGCAGAAGAAAATCCCCACTGGATGCGACAAAGTCATACCCAACGTCCTCAGAAAATCAACGTTTGGGCTGGTATTGTTGGTGATCATGTGGTGGGACCTATTTTCATTGAAAATCTTAACGGGGCAAGATATCTGGATAGGCTAAGAGAACAAGTTGTCCCAACTTTAGCAGAGTTGTTTCCAAATCCATTGGAACCTAATCTTCCCAATGAAAGGATATGGCTTCAACAAGACGGTGCCCCACCCCCACTATGCTCTTCCTGTACGGAATTATTTAAATGACACCTTTCCACACAGGTGGATCGGAAGAAGAGGTTTTATAGAATGGCCAGCAAGATCACAGGATCTAACACCTATAGACTTTTTTCTGTGTTTAAAACACAACCTGCTAATTTAGATGAATTAAGAAACAGAATTACTGGAGAAATTAGGAACATAACACCGGAGGTTTTAAACAGAGTGCGGGAACAATTTCACAGTAGATTTCTAAAGTGTCAGGAAGTGGACGGGGGACATTTTGAACATTTATAAGATTGAAGAAGAGTTTATTTTAGAATTTTTAATTAATTTTAAAATAAAAAGTTTAGTTTTTTAATTTGTCATTATATTTCCACCCTGTATTGAAAACTGGTTACTAAACCCTACTTATATGGTATCGTCATACTCAAAAAAATGTGAACTATCAATTTTCGATGAAAAAAAGTGGGGTTGTTATTTAAGATAAGGGTGCATAATGTGCGGGGGGGGAAAATGGTGGGGGCATAAAATTTAAAATTATCATTACTAAAAACTAAAGTTTACGTATCCGAGCGTGTTTCATAAAAAAATTTTCTCAACGAATAACGAATTTTATTCCATAAGTGAGTTCCACACTGTAATACAGTGACTGTATATATACGATGCATTAAGGTCGAATTTTGGTATTGGTTCAAAGTATCTAGTAAATAATGTATTTTTACGAATTTTAAGGCCACACAGAAAAAAATCTAACAAGTACAGCGCTGTCATTGAATCCATTAAAATTGAAGCAATCCAAATTGTTATTTGCTCAATTAATTACTATTAAACCAAAATAGGGAAATATTTGGCCTAAATGTCAAAGAATTTATTGCGTTAAATGTATACATAGTATACATACAATAGTAACGTTATTAAATAAATCAAATTAGTATTTAATGCAATAACATTCTACCATTCTAACAAATAAATATCAATATGAATATCAATAAATTTAGGAGCGATAACTTTTGTTGTTAATTTAAAAACAGTAAACGATTATAAACCAAGTGCTAACTACCTATTGGTATTATAGGAACTGTTATTCAGGAATTCGGATTACAAGATCCCATTGGTTTAATGGCTCACCCATTCATGTTATGCTAGCGTTTTTTCTGTGCATAATCAATCACTTGTTAACGAATGAACAACAATACAGTTTAAAATTTAAACTTTAAGGCCCAGTTGTATAAAAGTCCCATTAAGAACAGATTAATAAATTACGGGTTAATCAATAATTGCCGGTTAAAGAAAATTTTGTTGTGTAACACTCGGTTATGTATTAATTAGTTAATTTTCAAATTTAGTGGAATTCACTAAAAAAATCCCCAAATTTTCGTATTTGTCATGTCATAATTTTCGTAACTGTCAATTGACAAAATCCTCCTCAAATTCATATTAATAATTTTTGTTCTTTAGGAAGATTTTATATTGGTATTTATTTATTTATTGCATACATTAACGTGCAATTGTAAGTAGCTTTAATTATTAGGGATGGGATTTTAGTTATTTTACCTTTTTTTAACCATGTAACTATTTGAAAACCAATAATGCCAAAATGTGTTTTAAAAGATTTTCTTTTATATGAACCTAACTTGTTTTCACCTTTTTTACCTTTTTTGGAGGTTTTTGCTTTTAACTACCTTTTTTATACTTTTGTTACCTATTTTTTTAACTTGTTTCCACCTTTTTTACCTTTTTTGGAGGTTTTTGCTTTAAACTACCTTTTTATACTTTTGTTACAAATTTTTTAATTTGTCAGTTTATTTTCACCTATTTGTTACCTATTTTTACGTATTTTTACTTATTTTTTTTTTGTTCTTTTTAAAATTTGCGCCAATATTTTATCCAGGGCGTGCAACTCAATGGTATTGAATTTTTTCTTATGGTTACAGACTGTAACAGTAACTTTCTTTACAGTTACCTTCTTTGTAGTTACTCACTACTAGTGACCTTATGTTCTGTCATAGAACTTCTGTGTAGTGAGTGTCACTCAGTAAAACACAGTTTATTGCATAGAAACTTAAACTTTTAATGATTTTTTTTTACCTAAAATGCTGTTTTTTAACCTAAATTGCTTTTTTAGTACCTTTTTAGTTACCTATTTTTCAGTTTTTAGTACCTAAATATCCCATCCCTCTTCTTGCAGGTGTGTTTTGTGTTTTTGATTAAAGGTTTTAATATTTTGTTCAAATTATACAAAAAAAATGGCTTTAGCAATAGCTTGTTGGTCAAAAATGAAAGATTGTGGTAAAAGTGTCGCTAACTTTAATGGAAAAGAATCTTGGCTATTGCTTTAAATAGGTAGTTGAAAAATATAAAAACATGTAGAATGCAAAATGAACCCGTTACAAAAACTCGTAAAGTTAATTCAATCATTTGCCTAAAAGAAAGCGCTTATTTTGTATTAGTTCTTAAAGAAATTATGGCTGATATTTCTTTAATTCAAAAAGTTTTAGTATTTTTTGAGACAAAATTTGTTTCTGTATTCTTCTATATTTAAATCTGTAAAATAATCAGGTCTAGCACAAAAGTTTCGGTTTTCTAGGAAAAATAACAATTTCTACTAATTATAAAAAAATCTGCATCATCCGTTAAATGTTCTACCATTTTAATGCTAACCACAGATAAATACTAACAAAAATAATGAAAATTTTAAAACGTTGACTTTTATAAGGTTATATGTGTTCTAACCCGGCGTTAACCACACAAAATTCACCGATTTGTTAATTGTATGTTGATCACTTAATTAAATTTTAATCAATGTTTATACAACTTAAAAGTTAGCTTAATCATTACATAATTATTATCCAGAGTTCACCAGCTGTTAACCAACTGATATACAACTGGGCCTAAATCATAGACCACTTGAAGACAGTGGCGGCTGGTGGATTTTGGCACACCCATATCTCAGTTATTAGACATGGGACCCACATCAAATTTATATGAGTTTATAATGACATTATATAGACAAGTTCTGCGCAAGCAGAATTTAAATTAAAGTTTGCGAAAAAAAGTTAGTTTTTAAGTGCAACCCCCAGCCTCCTGCCCCTCCAAATTAAGATAATTCAAATTAAAGTGGTACAATATTTAATTCACTGAAGTTTATCGACAAATTTCAAATTTTATTAAAAAAATTCAAGAATTACAGGTTTTATACCATTTCAAATTTTTTAAAATTTAGTAAAAGAAATAATAAAAATTATAAATGGTATAAAACCTGTAATTCTTGAATTTTTTTAATAAAATTTTAAATTTGTCGATAAACTTCAGTGAATTAAATATTGTACCACTTTAATTTAAATTATCTTAATTTGGAGGGGCAGGAGGCTGGGGGTTGCACTTAAAAACTAACTTTTTTTTGCAAACTTTAATTTAAATTCTGCTTGCGCAGAACTTGTCTATATAATGTCATTATAAACTCATATAAATTTGATGTGGGTCCCATGTCTAATAACTGAGATATGCATATCCATGGGTGTGCCCAAAATCCACCAGCCGCCACTGCTTGAAGATAAAATAATGAATGGTACCTACGTTTTAAAAGATAATAAAAATGCAAAATTAAGGAAAACAACACGATTATAAGAATCTATAGCTTCTAACTTTTTAATTTCACAAATTTAATAATTTTGGGACAAAGCTGTCATAAAATATAATAATAAATATACTACGTAATCAAGCGATCTCATTTCTCAACATTTTCGGGGTTGGTTAAGGATGTATCCTCCATACACCCAATAAGTCAAAATCGCAAAGCGTAAGTTTTATGGGCTTTAACCATCTTTACTCAATGCTTTAACTCTTATCCTATTTTTACTAGGGTCTAGCTAAACGCCCGAAGGATAGGCAACCACATATGGCGAACAATTTTTGACTTTAATTTTAAGTTAGTGCTTAAATTTTCATTATAAAACATTTAATTTATTGCTGTTTTATTTATTGTTACCAATCTATTTAACTGAATAAAATATTCTGAAGAAGTGAACACAGAATTTTTCCAATACATGATTAAAGTCATAATGGGTTGCATATCCTTCAGGCGTTAAGCTAGACCCTCGTAAAAATTAGGATTAGAGTTATACAACGCTTTGCGATTTTGGAAAACTTGGCTTAGTATTTGGCATTCTTTACCAGATCTTTTAAAGGCGATGTTGGTAAACCTCCCTGCCGATGTGACCATATGTAGTATCTGGTAAAAAACAGTTTTTACTTCTTTTTGTCCATGGATGTTAAAGAGGGAATAATTGAGCCTGGGGGTAGTGTAATGTTACTTATATACAGAAAATGTTTCTAAAAAAATTTGAACGTTTTTTTGGAGCATAAGAGTTGTGTGTATTATAATAAATCTTGACTTACTCTTTTGCCATGGGGGTAGTTTAAAGCAGTGACGGCTGGTGGATTTTATGTATACCAATATCTCAGTTATTAGACATGGGACCCACACCAAATTTATAATAGTTTATAATGACATTAAATAAACAAGTTCGGCGCAAACAAAATTTAAAATTTTATTTAAAAAATCCAATTATTACAGATTTTATTCGATTTTAAATTTGTATTATTTATTTTATTAAAATAAAAAAATATTTAAAATGGTATAAAACCTGTAATATTTGGATTTTTTAAATTAAATTTTAAATTTCTTTATAAATTATAGTAGATTATAAATTGCAGCACTTTAATTTGAATTATCTTAAATAGGGGGGCCTGGAGGCGGGTGAGGCGACAGGAAAACTAACTTTTTTTCGCAAACTTCAATTTAAATTCTGTTTGCGCCGAACTTGTCTATTTAATGTCATTATAAACTATTATAAATTTGGTGTGGGTCCCATGTCTAATAACTGAAATATTGGTATATCCAAAATCCACCAGCCGCCACTGGTTTAAAGGGCATATTTCTGATACTACTTCACATTTGTTGACGCAATTTAGCAAACTTACTAAGCAAAACTTTAGGCTATAAAATGTCCAAAGGAGAACTTTTTAGACTATTTTGTTCAAATTGTATAGATCTTTGAAAAAATGGTGCTTTAATTTTGCACATCAGTTTATAAAGTGGCCTTAAGTGCCAGTTCACATAGAAGTTATTTCTCGCACTACGTTAATATAAGTTTAACCACCTTATATAGCATATTGAAAAACTATACTACGAGTATGTACTTGTAATTACTTGTCTTCCTGAATAATAGATGATAAATTTAAATTTTTTAGGTTGTGGAAGATTGGAAATTTGTCTCCATGGTACTGGACCGTTTCTTCCTCTGGGTGTTTACTTTAGCCTGCATTGGCGGAACTTGTGGAATTATTTTCCAAGCACCTTCCCTCTACGACACCAGGATTCCAGTCGACCAACAACTAAGCGAGATTCCCCTAAACAAGATCTTCCAACTACCACCTCAACATGTGGAAATTTTACATGAAACCTAAGATTTTAATTTACACTACACTATACATTGATATTTCTAAAAAGTTGTTTTTGTTACATACAGGCCTTCCCAAAAGTCCCGGGACAGAACAGAAAACATTTTATTTTCCTATTTGGTAGACAACCCCTCATTATTCTTGAAAGAATTAATATATCGGATTTTGGTTTATAAGAATGTATTTATCTTAAAATAAGGTGAAACTTGACATGGGTTACTATTTAAAAATATAGGGTCATCCCCTAAAAAAACTACACGTTGCATGGAAGTTCTACTCTCTAAAAATGACTAATTACTACAGTTATGACTAGCCGCTTTTTCACTTATACCATGGTATACCAAGGGATACCGTGGTGTCCCCGTCATAATAGCCAATTCTTATTGTCGGCATAATCCGAAAATGCCGTCAAAAGTTATAAAAGTAGAACAGTTTTTGAGATATAGTCCATTTTCCATATAATATGAAATTGACAATATCTCAAAAACTACTCTACTTTTATAATTTTTGACAGTATTTTCGGATTCAGGGGACAATTTTACATAAGAATTGACAATTATTTCGGAGATACCATGGTATAAGTGAAAAAGCAGCCACTAAAAACTGTAGTAATTAGTCATTTTTGACTAAGTAATTCATTTTTAGAGAGTAAACTATCTAAGAATATAGTTTTTTCATTATTTTCTTCACCCGTTCAAAGCTTCGTCCCGGGACTTTTGGAAGGACCTGTATACATATATTTGTTATGTATATATTAGGATGCATCTTTTCGAACATTATTTTCCCACCTTAAAATATTGTTGTGACAGTAAAAACATAATACCCTGTAAGTTTCGGCTCTTAATATTAATATCAAGCACTTTCCCTTAGCGTCGAATGTACAATTTTCGATACAATTATGAAAATTCATGTAAGCTTGAAAATTTTTTTTTTTAATTTTCCTAACTTAATGGTCTTTAACGCTACCGTTTTGTTTAAAAAAGCATCTTGCTAAGAATCTGGCCCCTAAACTTATTTTTTAAAATTTTGGTATTTTATAAATGACTAGACTCGCAGAAAAAATGTAAATGATAAATTATTAGCATAAAAATTAAATATTGTAAAAAAAAATTTTGAACTGAATCTTTAAAAATTATATTTCTTTAGAAACTTGAAAAGTCATGTTTACGTTTTTATTGACTTATCGAAAAAATAATATTATATACAATGTATATTATACATGCATTAAAACCAGTTGGTATTCATAAAATGACACACTCAAATTTCATTACGATATTGTTAATGTAGAAAAGAAATATTATTTGTCTTCCATTATAATATAACTTATAACTTAAATACATGTTTTAATTTATTTACCAACACTTAGATACATATAAATATTTATTACGTATAAAAATATCATTTTATAAACTTATGTTATGTTAAACATTGTTATTATACTTAAGTTTTGAATTTGTATAAATGTAATAGCTAATTATTTATATACAAGGTGTCCCTAAACTTATTAGCATAAATTTTGGAAAAGATTGAGCAAGTCAAAATAAGACGAAAGCCTAAATAAATATTGTTCCTAAATACTTATGTTTCCAAGATACAGGGTGATAAAGTGTTACCTACTTATCATATCAGTTTTTTTAATATAACTTCTACTATGGTAGTCTTGGAAAGGTGATATCTTGCCAACAGTCACTTACTACTAAAACACATATTCACACATAATTTCAATTGTTTAAGTGAACACAGTGTCGTGTAAACGGGGGTTGCTTTAAGCTTATTCGGGCCAATTCACTAACACTAGTCGTTAAAGTTAGCCACTAAAATTAGTGGTTATCCCTATATTTAATCGACCTGATTGGCCGATAACCACTGATCTAGTGGCTAAAGTTAACGACTCATGTTAGTGAATTGGCCTGATTGTCCCATACAAACTTTGAGGTTAGGTTTTTAAAACATTTGATGCAATTTTTCGAGTACACAGTTCAGCTACCATTTAAAAGGTGTACCTCTCAAACTTTGATAAAATAAACCGTTTCTGAGATATTCGAGATTACAATAATTGTTATATCGCATTATTAGGATTAAAAGGTATATGATAAGAAATTTTATTTTTTAATTGAAAAAACTAAAAAGGGAATTCCATGAGCCTCGGGACTTTTTGCAATGAATGTCAAAAAAATTGAAGTTTTTTCAATTAAAAAATTTGTTATCATATAGGTACCTTTCAGTCCTTTAATGTGATATAACAATTATTGTAATCTCGAATATCTCAGAAACGGTTTATTTTATCGAAGTTTGAGAGGTACACCTTTTTAAAAGTAGCCAAACTGAGTAAACGAAAAATTCCATCAAATGGTATAAAAACCTATCCTCAAAGTTTGTATGGTACAATAAGCTTAAAGCAACCCCCGTTTACACGACACTGTGTTCACTTAAACAATTGTAATTATGTGTGAATATGTGTTTTGGTAGTAAGTGACTGCTGGCAATATGTGTTTTGGTAGTAAGTGACTGCTGGCAAGATATCACCAGAGATATGGATATGGATATGGATATCACCATATCTCTGGATATCACCTTTCCAAGACTACCATAGTAGAAGTTATATTAAAAAAACTGATATGATAAGTAACACTTTATCACCCTGTATCTTGGAAACATAAGTATTTAGGAACAATATTTATTTAGGTTTTCGTCTTATTTTGACTTTTTTAATCCGCTCCTAAATTTATGCCACTAAGTTTAGGGACACCTTGTATATTTATGTTATAAGGGGTGTCTTAAAAATGGCGCAACTGTAGGCAACACGTTGCTGTAGAGAAGAATTATTGAAGTAGGTATGCAAAAAATTGCAAAAAAAGTTCGATAAGTACTTTTTGACTAACAAAACATTTAAATTTATAAAACTCGTTAACGCTGTTTTCCTAAGCCTAACATAAATATAAAACATCTAAAAACGGTTGGTATGGAAATAAAATAAACGCATCTGCTGCGATATTAAGTTAGCATGGTTGATGGATATATTTTCTGACAGTTGTGTCAAAAGAAATTAAACTTTAAATCATAACTATTATTAACACATTTTTATTTTTGAAAGGTCTCTTACAATTGTAACTTAAACTTACAATTGTAACTTGAACTTACAATAATTGTAAGTTCAAGTTACAATTGCAATTGTAAGTTCAAGTAAGTTCAAGTTACAATTGTAAGTTCAAGTTACAATTATAGAATAGAAATTGCAATTATTGTAGGTTCAAGTTACAATAATTGTAAGTTCAAGTTACAATTGTAATTTGAATCTACAATTTTAAGTTCAAGTTACAATTGTAGGATAAACCTAAAGGTAAGTTTATTGTTTCTTCTCTCTATAGTATAACCAATTTAGTGTTTTTAATAGGTAGCTATGGAACAATATTTCAAAATGGGGCTTCAGCAAAAAGAAATATTATAATATTATTTAAAGGCATGCATAACGTATTTATAAGCCCAATAACCTTAAAACGGCTTCTGTGCAGACTAGGGCTGCTATTATCGAAATTCATAATCGATTATTGATTATCTAAAATAATCGATTTTTTTAATTAATCGAATAATAATTAATTGATTTTTTGATTAATCGATTATTTGATGAATCGATTATTAGTTAATCGAATATTTGATTAATCGATAATATTATTAGTTAAAAAAAATGCGTTTGGCAGAGTAAAGAAATGTTCATGCAATTCAGATAAATAATATTAAAAAACATACCTACTCACTTATGTTTTTTATTGTTATTAAATAATAATACAATTTATATATATAAATTTTATATATATAAATTGTATACTATTATTATTTATATTATAAAAATACGTTTTAAAAGCACACAACACGAAAATTGTTGAATAACTAAATAACTTAATTCATTCGGTCCCCCAACTTATCGTGGATAGACATTACATTCTTTATTTAAATAATAATAATTATTATTATTATAATAAAATAATCAATTAATCGATTAATCGATTATTACAAAAAAATAATCGACGGTTTGATAATGGATTAATCGAATATTTTGCCCACCCCTAGTGCAGAATCGATCTTGTAAGAAGGAAATTTAGTCATTTAGAGAATGTTTAGGCTTTTATTCTGTTTCTTATCACTACTTCTGCCCAAGTTACAATTGAAACTTGAACTTACAATTGTAACTTGAACCTACAATTGTAACTTGAACCTACAATTGTAACTTGAACTTGAATTGTAAGTTCAAGTTACAATTATTGTAAGTTTAAGTTACAATTATAGAATAGAAATTGCAAAAATCAAAGTTAGTTTTGGCTAAAACTTGTAAAATTTTTGTTTGGCCCTTCTACGCCTTCGTAATTTTGTGTTATTTAAAGCAAAAATTTAAATAATATAATTATCCTAAAAACAACTTATTTTATTATTAACAACCTCATTTAATAAATCGAGTCAATGTTAAATTCTTTTCTGATATTATTTTTTGGGGTCAATTGCAATCAACAAATGTGTCTTAATATTGATGCATATTTTATTTATATATAAATAATGATTCATCAATGTATGATTTATAACATTTTATTATCAATAAATAACAAAAACACGTAAACACCCAAAAACATTTACCAATTTAAAAATAAGAATATCCAACTTCCTTGGCGGTTCTGCAAACATCGGGTATTTGCCCCTGGATCTTGCTGCAAACCACCGAAGCGAAATTGTATTGGGATCCTGCCTGATCAGCGTGGTTGTAGGCGCCATTAAAAATTATGGTCGGCACGAAGGAAATAATCGGGTCGAGTTCCATTGTTCGGTTTCCGTGCATCTTGATCAAGGAGTCGCCTTCTGGGCCTTGGGCGCATTTTTTCATTTCTTCGGTGTCATAGCCAAATAGTTTTCCACACTAAAATAATGATTTTAATATTTTTTTTATTTTACGTAAAATTTTAAAAACAGAAAAATTACAAATTGTCGTTAAAACTAAACATACATTTTCAAATTAAATTTCTAATATTGGATTGGATAATAACTTGGATATTGGATATAAAATAGTTTTAAGTAGGTATTTCCGTAAAATATTTAAATTAATTATTTTAATGTATAATGACATGCATATAGAATTTCCCAAAAAATCGTTTTTTAAGCCATTTTTATTGAATATGGTGAAACTACGATTTTACTGCTTTTATTTCGAATAATGCAAAATTGATAAAGCAATCTCTTTAAAAATATACTTAAGTGCAAATGGGCTTTAAAGTAAAATGGGTACAAGTACTGATATTAAATTATAATCTGGTTAGTACCGGGTATATAGTAAGTACAAAATTAAAGTACAAGTACAAGTACAGCTCTAATTGTAACATAATGCATAGACATTTTAATAAAAATATGCATAACTCGCTAATTCATTTGTAGGATATTGTACGCTTTACAAAAAAGGCATATTGAAATTTTTTCGTAAAACCATTTAAATAAAAATTTAAATACCTATTCGTAAAACCATTTAAATATGTAATATTGCAGGACAATGTTTAAAATACATAAAATATATATGTAGGTATATTAGGTATAATAATACATTTTTTATTATTTAAAAAATAATGAAAATTTAAAGTATCATTTAGGCATCGGAAAAAAATATATTTTTTTATTTTTTAAAATGTAATCAAATAATTAAAATGATAACCATATAAAAAAAATATTAAAGCCAGGGTGGCCCAAAAAAAAAGAATATTTTTTTTCTCGTCTCTTGTAAAAATATGTTGATATTTATATTCAGAGGTCGCTCGAAAACATTCACGATACTCTACTTTGATAGTTAAAAAAAATCTTGAGCGACCTTTAGAAATCAAAATATCGATTTGAAATTTTCAGAATCATTATTATTTTCAAATTAAAAAATAATATCGGAACGAAAAAAAAAATTAAAATAAAAAAACTTTGGAAATTTTTAAAAATCTTGAGCGACCCCTAAAAATTTTTTAATAGAGCTGATCTTTTGACAGGGCTCTTAAAACATGACAAACCAACATATTTTCACAAGAGACAAGAAAAAAATATATTCTTTTTTTTTTTGGGCCACCCTGGCTTTAATATTTTTTTTATATGGTTATCATTTTAATTATTTTTTTACATTTTAAAAAATAAAAATATATTTTTTTTTCGATGCCTAAATGATACTTTAAATTTTCATTATATTTTACATAATAAAAAATGTATTATTATACCAATACCAATATCTCAGTTATTAGACATGGGACCCACACCAAATTTATAATAGTTTATAATGACATTAAATAGACAAGTTCGGCGCAAACAGAATTTAAATTGAAGTTTGCGTTAGTTTTTCCTGTCGCCTCACCCGCCTCCAGGCCCCCCTATTTAAGATAATTCAAATTAAAGTGGTGCAATTTATTATTTACTATAATTTATCGAAAAATTTAAAATTTTATTTAAAAAATCCAAATATTACAGATTTTATTCGATTTTAAATTTTTATTATTTATTTTATTAAAATAAAAAAATATTTAAAATTGTATAAAACCTGTAATATTCGGATATTTTAAATAAAATTTAAAATTTGTCGATAAATTATAGTAGATAATAAATTGCACCACTTTAATTTGAATTATCTCAAATAGGGGGGCCTGGAGGCGGGTGAGGCAACAGGAAAAACTAACTTTTTTTCGCAAACTTCAATTTAAATTCTGTTTGCGCCGAACTTGTTTTTGTTTATTTAATGTCATTATAAACTATTATAAATTTGGTGTGGGTCCCATGTCTAATAACTGAGATATTGGTATACATAAAATCCACCAGCCGCCACTGCCAGATTGGTATAAATTATTTTATCTCCACGCGGTCTATAATTTAAACTTTATTGTTGTCAACATTCGATAAAGAAATACCTTGTTATGGCCTAGGCCGATAAAAAATTTTATGAGGCAAGTAATTAGTTCGATTTTTTCTCGCTAGGGGTATTATTTTGAGAAATTAACGTACTAAACTGGTTTAATTTATTTATAATAAGCATTAATTTGTTTGTTTTACTGTTAATGTTTAATATTTTGCATTAAATTATTGTAAAATTAAATATGAATAATAAAACAAACAGTGAGGTTAGGCAACCAAGAAAACGCACGATTCTTTTTCTACAATTTAAACTATCTTTTAATTTGCTTTAAGTTTTCAGTGAAATTAAATGTTAAACACAGCTAAAACATTCCAAACTACCTATTTTTTAAATAAAAATCCAAACAAATTGAAATTAGATACCTACCTATTTATTAAACAATTAATTGAATTCAATGTAATAGCAAAAATACATTTCTACTTAAATCATGTTGCTAGGTATTGTCAAACTATTACTGCTTCTAAAAGCAATAATAATTATTGTACATTTAATGTAATCTTTAGCCAATAAATAAATTAGATTCTAAAAAAGTGAGGTTAGGCCGGTTTGATGTTAAATTAAATTTACCTAAAGTGCTTTGAAGATAAAATGTTGTATGCCATTCGGCACTTAAGTGCCTTTTTGTACTTCGCTCAATTGTAGGCCTCCGCTACGCGTCAAACCTTGAGCTTAGCACAAAAAGCCTTACTTCTTAACCTAATGACATAAATAACTATTTACAGCCTAGGAGATAATCGAATACTTTGGTAGTGAGAGTTAACAAAATAAAGCCTAAATTATAGAACGCTTGAAGATAAAATATTTTTTTTAAATCAACTTGGTAAATAATAACAGACACACGCCTTGTCTAAGTAATAATGATATGATTAAAAAAAAATCAACTTACTTTTTCAATAAACTCCACATTAGAGGGGTCCATCTGAATCATTATGCAGTTAACTACATCCACGTTGACTTTTTGACTTTTATTTTGATTGAGTAAACATGCTTGATATTTATTTCCAAGACATTCCCTGGCACCGTGTTGACACAAGACTCTATTAGGCTCTACTGAAGTGTCTATCTATAAAAAAATATGTTGTTAAAAACTAAGGCACATGAAAGTATATTTTTGGTATGTAAAAATTATAAAAATAAATACTTACAAATGCTTTTCCAAAAGGTACCAATTCAAGGTTTAAGTACCTGTCTAGCTGATTAAAGTTCGGGTATAGTTGGTTGGTTATGAATTGTGTACTATCTGGGCATAGGGCTTCATAGTAAATGGCAACATTAATTGTTGACACCTGTAATGAGTAATATTGTTTTAATAAATAATTATATTCAAATTTGGTTAATTAAGTATAACTTTCCTTCTTGGATAGACCGATTCAAAAGCCGTAATTAATCGGTTGTTTAACTGCAGCAAAAATTTAGACTACAGAGGTCATGGATATTTGTTTGGTCGGATATCTGATACCGAAAATCCGACAAGCTTTGAAGCCGAAATAAAAAGTCCTAAAAACTTAAAACCGTATAAAGCAATTCACACGGATCGTTACGTCGATAGCCTTTAAATATTTTTTTCTACGACCACTATGTAAAAGTCACTTTTCATGATGGCATCGTTGCTTAGAAAATGAATCTTTCCATTGGCAAGGCAAAACACGAATGTAAAGTGACATTTCTGTGTGAAAGTGACAGGTCTGTGTGAAAAGAACCGGAAAGCATCGTTTGACATACAGCTGTCAAAAAAGTTTTTAGGTTATTTTGTTTTATATTTAAAAATAATAAAAAATAAAAGGGTCGCAGAAAAAACATTGTGTTATACTTGTGAGAAAAGCTTTCTTCAAGCTCGTGTTAATGCACACTCGGCCTAACGGCCTCGTGGGCAACTTAAAAACTCGCATAAAAAAGTCGCTTTTCAACACTTGTAAAACAAATAACTATTTTGCTATTAAGCAACATTATGACAAGCACTTGTATTTCATATTATCCCATTACGATAAGCAAATAAATAATGATTTTTTTAATTTGGCAACACGATATATCATTATTATTGAAAACGTCAGTTGGCTTAATAATAGTATATTGTGCGACTAATGGGAGAAAGAGGAGATTTCTTGAGCGTGGAGTTTGCCGCACGAGCGTAGTAAGTGAGGCAACACGCGAGTGGAATCTCTTTTTTTACCAATATTCGCACAATATTTTATTTAACAACCACAAGGAATTTAAAGCCAATTTTATTTGAAATTTTATCTGAAATCTGACAGCTGTCAATTAGTTTTAACCTCACTTTTTTCTTAATTATCTTCACTCCTCTCTTAAAATGAATCAGTCATATTTGACCAATTGTCATTGCGAAAAAGCAGTCACTAATAATTATTATAATAATTATTAGTCAAATTCTACCTAATGAAATGGTCAAATTAGTACATTTAAATTTAAAAAAGTTTTGACCCAGCTGGGGTTTGAATTCGAGGTTCTCACTTGTCAATCCCCAGTAAGCACCAAACAGTCGGCCTTCGCTCGGCATAGGCGGTTGACCGGCGGTTCGGCTTGCCCCCAGCCGTCCCGCTTATGGCCCGCGTTATGTTAGCCCGGTACCGTTTGGCCATGTTCTAACCGAAGTCGGCCAGAATACGGCATGCCGCTGCAAAATCGTTTGGCTTGCCCTAGCCGGCCCGCTTACGGCCGGAATACGGCCTGCCGCGGCATAAGAGATACATCTCAGGGCTGCTTTGACCTATATTGGGTCTCATCAGTGTCGGGAAACTTGGTGTAGTGGAACACACTCAAAACAAAGGACTCCCTGAGCTTATAAGCTTTGTTGGTAAGCCAACAGAGGCGAGATGTAAGAACATCAGGTGATCCACACCGTCAAACGACGTGGCCTTTGCCGCAATCGGTACATACTATGCAACTGGGACTGCACACAGCAATTGTATCACATATACTAATATGGCCTAAATGAATCTAGAATTAGCCCAGCCAGGCTAAACATTAAGGTAATGGGTCAAGAAATTTTCTTAAAGAAACTAATAAAATTGACAATAAGTGAAATTTCTATCTCCATCTGTTGATAAAACTTTAAACTTCGTAGAGTAAATATGTATTTATTAATTTATTATATAAAAACAAAAAAGTTCTACTCCACCAATAAATATGATCGTCATATTAAATTTTAAAAAACATATTTATCATAAATATATTATTGATATTCAATAACATTGTTATTTTTTCTTAATAATTAATTCATTTGTCCAATAAAAATAACAAATATTTTGATGAATGAAAATAAACAAATAGAATAAACCTTGGACTTAAAAAAGAAAAAAGAAAATGTGTTTATACTTAAGAAGACACCAAAAATCTATAAAATTTCAAGTTTTATAATATAATTATTATTTAAAAATTATATCAACAATAAAAAAGTAGGTATAATTATAGGTAAACCTTAAAGGTAAATTATTGGTGGGCAACACTTACCGCCTGATGAACAAATATCCCTAGGATCACAAAAAACAAATTAAAATTCATCGTTACTGGTAACTGCAACTTCTGTTTAGCAAATGATGTATCTGAACATTTGCTTATCGCGGTTGTCTTAAAATAATCATGGTCGCAATGTTAAAAATTATTATTCGAAAATTCATTATTCTTACGATATCTAATGGCACAGATTACCACTTTGTTAATGGTTTAGTTTTTCTTATCATTTTTAGCTGGTACTAACCTAGTAATCGACTGACCTATAAAATTACTTAAAGAAACAATGCCAGTCTATTTAGGTACTTTTAAGAGTTTTATTTATACATTGTTTTTTTATTTAAAGAATAGGTTTGTTGGCCTTTTAATGGTATTTTTTTTAAAAAGATCATATTTATATTTTTTAAACAAAAATTTAAAAAAAAATTACACTTGTTTAAAAAAATTTCCTTGGCAAAGAAAATGTCAAAGACAAAAATTTACATATAAAATTCTAATTATTACGAATCATTAATAGTAAATTGTTTACCGAGAGTGGAATCTTAGCAATTACTCCCGATGATAAAAGTTTTCGAACGATTTATGGCGAGGTTAACACTATTATAGTTTGTCGAGTTAAGCCAATTTTAAAATATATTTAAAAAATGTTTGTCATAATTATTTAATTCGGACAACTTAAAGTCAATTAGATGACGATCGCCATGGTAGCAGGATATTATGATTGACAAATAAAGCGCTCTAATTGGTCCACTTTTGAAAGATGACAGGTAAAAAAACAAACTAGTCTACTATGCTAATTAATACTATAAAACTTTGTAAAATTCCAGTTTAAAATCCGCCAAAATAAAATAATATAATTTTTTGTACTACCTTACTGGAAAACTTATTTTTCCACCCCCGAGCGAGGGAGGAAAATGCCTCTTTTCCTCCCTCTTTTTTTTAACAATTTTACATTAGCAAGAGTTTTTGTACCTTGTCTAGGCCTATTTGATTTTACTCCGCGCTTGTTCAATCATTCTATGAACAAACCACAGTTTACTGTGGAACAAACTATATTCATTTTCATATCGCCCTTTCGGTTTTTAAGGAAATTAATTTCAACTATTCTTGCCTCTTTAGCAAGATCTTGCGGCAGGACTTCTTCGCTAGAACTCATTTTTAAAACTTTCTGACAGCTTATAAAACTTCTATGTTTGTATTACCAAAAATACCAAAAATACCATAGCAACAAAGCGACGCAACATCTACTTAATATTTTGTCAAAATTTTATAGCCCCATACCGGGTTAGTAAAAGAAACCGGAACGCTTAAAATGTCTTAAAACTGTTAAAAGGTAATAGAAAAAACTATATTTATTTTCATATCGCCCTTTTGGTTTTTAAGGAAATTAATTTCAACTATTCTTGCCTCTTTAGCAAGATCTTGCGACAGGATTTTTTCGCTAGAACTCATTTTGAAAACTTAGGAAGAATTTCAAATTTATGATACACTTTCTGACAGCTTATAAAAACTGTTATGTTTGTATTACAATTTTATAGCCCCATACCGGGTTAGTAAAAGGAACCGGAACGCTTAAAATGTCTTAAAACTGTTAAAAGTTAAAACCTATATAAACATACCTCAGGAGGAAAATGCGTTTCCTCCCTTGAATATTTAATGCCCTTCGCTTCGCGTCGGGCATTAAAATATTCGCGGGAGGAAAAGCACTATGTTTCTCCCATGGTATGTAAATAGCTATTTCCAGTGTGTTGTTTTAGTTTTGCCTAATAATGTAGAATTCATTAAAAATAAAATGTTTATTACTTTAAATTTATTCATTAATAAAAATTTTAAAAAAGTTTCAATTTTATATTTGTATATTTATATTCTACAATAAAAATAATTGCCCAGGAAATACAAGGTCTTCTTAAAAAATTACCATGTGAGCATTATTTTTTACTTTTTGGATGAAATGAAGTTTCTAATTAGGTTTAAAATTTAAAGTTTTAAAAAGAAACAATTAAACAGTTTTTCCAAGAGCAAAAAGTATTTTTGTTTGGTCAAACCAAGACGGATTTACAAATTTTCCGCCTTTAGACTAAACCAAATTGCCGCCTACACTGAGAAAAAAGTCTGGCATTTTTGTACAAATATATTTAATGAATTCCAAATTTTATTATTTGAAAACAACAAATTTAAAAAGTTTATTTAAAATTATGAAATTTTATTTTAAATATTTAATTTTTTATTCAAATTCGATGTTTAAAATCAATTAATTGTATTTGTTTGAAATTACCTCGGAAATTACCACATTTTTTTTCAGTCTATGCATACGGCATGCCATACATTTTTTACACAACTTAATATAGGTAATAAAATATGCAATATGAAAGTTATGCAAACGTTTATTATAATACTAGGAAAATACTCATAACAATTTTACAAAAAAAATCGAAAAAAAAACGAAATTCTGCAAAGTTAATACTTTGTTTTCAGCGGCCACCGAAAAAGTTTTCGCCTTCAAAATTTGCAGACGTGGGCCTAGCTGACCTATTATATAAATTAGTGCCTGGTATCAAATAATACTTACATATATGTACATACACTGTTTAAAATATCTGTGGTGTGAAGAGTAATCTTAAAATGGTGTCAAAATCCAACACCAAGTGGTGTTAATATAACACCATGAATTATGGTTGAAAATGTTTTATACAGCAAACACTAAAACAGTGTTTATCTAAAAATATTTGAGAAGTGCACCTACACAGAAAAAAAGGAATAGTTCATTTAACTATATTAATTTAGTTGACCCATAAGTATTTATTTAAATCAACTGTGGAAAGGTTAATATAAACAAAGATTAGTTAGGTACTAAACAAGATGGTTATTTAATTTTTTTTAAATTGGTTAAATTAACCCAGAAAACTTTAGTGAAACCAACCCGCCTTATGGTTCAGTTTACTAAATATGTTGTTTGTAAAATAAAAGTTACTTCAACCTAAAGCACTCTGTTAAAACGATTAAAACAATTTGCCGTGCATTCCTGGTTGCATAGTGTGTACCGATCGCGGCAAAGGCGGTGTGGATCACGTGATGTTCTTAAATCTCGCCTCTGTTGACTTACATAAAGAGTATATAAGCTCAGGTAGTCCTTTGCTTTGGTGTGACACTACAAGTTGTTCGATACTAAAGAGACCTTAAATAGGTGAAAACAGCTGTCAATATTAAGTGGTATTTTAAGTTTGTGGAACGCACTAAAAACATTATCTCTAGCGAGTTGAAGGTTCAATTTTCTGGAATAATACCACTGGTAATATACTTGTAATGCGTCAAGGAACTTCTGTTTCCTTTTTTTCTGTGTAGTATGATTTAATTTGACCAAAAACACATTATATTTAACACTGAAAAGGAGTTCAATTTACACCAGGTGTTAAAATGGTCACGAAATTTTGAACAGTGTATGTATTACTTCTACTTACTTTTCGCATTAATCTCTTATTTAATAGGTATTTTGTTAAGATAGTTATTATTTAAACTTAACTAAGTAACCCAATGTTTTATAATCTTTATTTTATATTTTATATATTTAAAAATATCTTTATGTAAAACATAAAATTTAATGCAATTTCAATTACAACTTTAATACAAAAAATACACAATATTATTTTATATTTAAACCAATATGACCTTAGCTTCATTATTTTCTTTACAACCAGGGTCTTCGTAGTCCAATAATTCGCAAACCATTTTCTTAAAGTCGATCAATGATTCGCTTTGGTAAGTTTGATTGAACTCGTCGTTAAAAATTATGGTTGGAATAAAGTTAATAGGTGGCGTGACGCTGAGAGTTTTGTTGCCATTGGCTGCCAGAAGCAAATCTCCACGGCCTGATGTGATGCAGCTTTGGATTTCGGTCCATTTCAGGTTTCCGACAGTGGCACACTATTTAGTTAAAAAATATGTTTAAAATAATAAACAATTTGTATTAAATAAAACTTATTAAACGCACCTTTTTTAAATAAACGTCATCCCAACCTCTTCCCGAAGACATGGCGCAATACAAATACTGAATTGCCTCTGGTATGGAATATTGAGAGGCTACGCAGGAATGGATTTTATTGCCGTAACATTCCTTTGGGCCATGCTGACAAGTAAACATATATGTATTGTTGGATTCTTCAGTCTAAAACAGTTTTATCAAATATAAGAAAAGCTATAATTAAATAGACATAAAGTCGTTTCTAGATACAGTATACTGTATACTATAGTTTAAATTTGTTATTTACATAAAAAATTTCTAAATATAAGTATAAATAAAATCTGTGCTGTCTTTAAGGCGCAGCAACTTCTTACTTATTACAAAAATAAAGACACGCAAAACAATAAAAGGGATCTTTATGAGTAAACTATAGTTTAGATTCAAAACCCAACACTTGCATTTTGTTAACACCACTTTACAGCATACCTACTTATTCTCTAGCAAATTAAAAAATGGATCTACCTCAAATAATACAACCACAAACAACAACCGAATATACAAGAATCACAAGTCTTCAATAGATTATTTGGTAACTAATTTTTCTGACGACTATATAATCTCTACAGAAGTCACAACGATGTAACTAAAACTTCCACCAATAGTTTTTTTGTTAGAAATACAAGTTTATCCAATCTCAATAAATTAAATAATTTTTTAAACAATTCTTTCTGGGGTAAATTATATTATAATGACATCGATATATCTATTGATATCCTGACAAAGGAAATCGTAAAAAGGCTTAATTTAACCTGCCCCTATAAACTAGTTAAACCTAAAAATAGCACTAATAAAGATAGTTTAAAGAACTGGTTAACTTCTGATATAATCAAAAAAAGTAGGTAATGAATTAAAGAACTCATTCTGGTTAGCGCAAAGGTTGGGTTGTGGAGACGTACAGAATATATATAAAAGAAAGAAAAAATAATTACAAAAAAATATAATCTTTTCTAAGAAAACTTTTCTAAATACAAAAATTTGTAACTCCCTCAATAAAACAAAAACCATTTGGAAGATTGTAAATTGTCAACTTAACAAACAAAAAACATACTCTAATAAAATTCAAATTATTGAAAACGACGTTACCCTAAGTGAACAAGCACAAATCCCTTCAATATTAGGCTCCTACTTTGCTACAATTGCACAAGACACTGTTAATACTCACTTTCAAGGCACTATGTCTCAGAAATGCACACTTTATTAAACCATTTGCAATAGTTTTTCTTTTTTCGACGTAACACCATTGGAAATACACACTCTTGTCTCAAGAGTCTTGTGGTATTGACGGAATTTCTAGTAGGGTAGTAAAATCTATTAGTTACAACATCGCAGAACCAATTTGTCAATAAAATCCGGTTATTATAAAGCAACCTTAAAAGCATCACTGACACCAATTTTTATAAAGGGGGATTAACTGTGCAAGCATAATTATAGACAAATATCTGTAAACTCTTTTTCAAAAATAATAGAAAAATAATTTGCAATAAAATGATTTCATTTCATAATCAAAATAATGTTATAACAAACTAGCAACATGGATTTCGAAAAAACCATTCCACCGAATCAGCATCATATCAATTTACACAAACATCTGTGAAGAGATAGATAAGCGAAGATTGGTCATGGGACTATTTTTTTACATAAGTCATGCCTTTGATGTCGTTAATCCTGACTTTTTGGTAGATAAAATGTATGAAATGGGTTTCCGTTGTAAATTTTCTCATTGAATTAAATCATTCTTAAATGATCGTAAACAATTTAACAGTTACTTGGGAGTTCCTCAGGGCTCGGTACTGGGACCACTCTGGTTCTCACTTTACATAAACGATCTTCCAAACTTCTTAAATGGCAAAGTTAGCATGTAGGTATGCATCGAGTCATGAGAAACTTATTAAAAGTGTTGAGATTGTCAAAAATCAATTTACGAGCTGGTGTTTAATCCTTAATAAAAATAAAAGAGAATACGTATTATTTCTCCTCTTGTAGGTAATTTGGCAAGATTTAATCAAGACTTAACTGTTTCCAAGATTGTTAAATTTTTGGGTATCTCCTTAGAAGCTCAACTTACGTGGGAAAATCAGATTGGAAAAATTTGTAAAAAGTTAAGCTCCTCAAACTTTGCTCTGTTATCTTTAAGAAAAAGTTTGTCTCGGCACTGGCTCTTAAACGCATATTATGGTATGATTTTCTCCCACCTATCTTATAATATCGTTCTTTGAGGTAGAGCAATATCTATAAATAGAGTATTTGTTCTACAGAAAAGATCATTGAGAATAGTCTTTGCTATGCGTTCGAGAGAGACACCAATAGTCAATTTAATAGAGAACTTAAACTATCTATCTATCAATCTAATAAAGTAACAAATTTTGTGCGCCGTTTAGTCTAGTTAAAATAATTGCCATACTAATAAACTACCTATAGGTATAGTAGTTTATATTATACACTATTTACTTACTTTAGCAAAACCATAGGCAACCAACTCTACATCAAGTCTGTTTCCTAAATCTTTGTAAGTTGGATAAAGTTGATTTACAACAAATTTTACACTATCCGGGCATAAACATTCATAATAAAGGGACACCTTTATATTTTTACCCTGAAACATATTTAATTTTAAGAAAAACTTACATAGGTATTGTAGTTCGACAATTTAAATTTATAAAGGGGAACCATAAAATGGCACACTAACGCCATAATTTTTGTTTAGTAATATGGGAGATCTGTGTGGAGGGGGAAGATTTTACTTTTATATTGGGAAAATGGTAAATTTGTAAAGGTAAGCTTTAAAAACAATTAAAATATGCTATTCCTATTGATAAAATACAGTAATATTAATTAATACTATTTGCTATATAGCATTAATTTTCAATATTATATTACAGAAAAAGTTACATTTTAAGTTTTGCCTATAGAAAAATTAGAGAATTTAAATACAGGACAAAAAAAGGTTGGAATTATTATTATTTTTTTAATTATTTTTCTAATTATTATTATTATTATTATTATTTTTAAATCAATAATTAATAGTTATTTATGCCACAAAGCTGAAAAGTGAGTCTTTTTGTGCCGAGCTTAAAGTTTGAAGTCCAACGCATTAGCGGAGGCCTACAATTGAGCGAAGCAAAAAAACTCGGCTGAGCCGAATGACAAGTTTTATGTGCTAAACGATACATAAAACGTATTTACAATAATTAAAAGTATAAAGTGAGGTTAGATAGCTTTAAAGTTGTCAGTAGTTATCGAATTTTTGTATTGGTCCAAACGGGCTTTTTACAGACTAGAATGTAAAAGAATTTACCGTAAATACGGGTGGCTTTAGCTCACTTTCAAAATTAAGCTTAAAATTTTTGTGGTTTTAACAATCATAAACATTAAATATTGTATACCAAAATTTGAGTCTTGAGTTGCTCTTTCATAATAACTATGTTATTACATAGGGCTGAGTTTCAAAAATAAAAATTAAAAACTAGGTTTGCAAAGATACCCCCTGGTTGCGGGTAACTGTCTCACAGTGTTTTTTACGTATAAAATTAACTCAATATTTTATTTTATTTTTATTATACACATGTTAGCAGCGACATATAGCGATTGCAAGGGATTACCGATAAAAAAAAATAAAAAATCGACCTGTACTTCACCAAGGATCATCATTCCAAAGGATTGCGCATAATAAAGATACACACGTTACAATATAAAGTGTATTAAATCCCATTTATTTCTTTAAAACACTGATTTTCCTGTAATATAAACTCAATAGAATTGCTCAATTGACAGGTTTAGACCAACAAATTATAAATGTTAATTTTATCGAGCGAGAAAAGATTTTTCATAAAAGGGTTAAAGTCACCCGCGGGGTGCAAAGCCACCCGTGTTTATGGTACCTGATTTGTTTAAATTATTTCTACAGCCTAGGAGATAATCAAATTCTTTGGTAGTGAGCAATCATAAAGTTAAATTATAAATCGCATAAAGATAAAATTATTTTCAACTAACGATAATAGAAAATATGCTTTTTTTTGACTGTGGAAGTAGTCTTACAACATAAAAATAAATAACCTAATTTTTAAACCACCATAAATTAAACTACTTTTATACTCTTTATAATATATTATACAGGGTGACCCATAATTTACGTCAACACCAAATTCTAAGTACAAAATAAGAAAAAAAATCCTTTAAACATAGTTCAAGAAATGCTTTCTAAAGCTGGGTACAGACCAAAAACAAAGAGTTCGCGAGCTGCTCGCGAGCTGCTCGTGAACAGCTTCCAAATTGAACCCGAGCAGCTCGCGAACGTGCCGTCCACACTAGAAAAGTTTGCACGTGAACAGTTTCGGTGAGCAAGTTCGTCCGAGTTCGTCGAGGGTTCCATAATTTCCAAATTCAAATTTAAACATTTAAATAAAAATAATGTCATCGCTGCAAAGCGATGAAGAAAGCGATCTAATAATTGCTTGTGCGGCCTATTTTTTAGTAAAATCAAATGTTGAGTAAAAAAAAACAGAAACGTAAGACCAGGCGATGGTGGCAAAGAAGTTTATTTAAAAATCGCTCAAAATATGGTGGATATTCTTCGATTAACCAAACAATATCGTCCTCTGACCAGTCCATGTTTAAAATAGCTTTTTATTTATTAAGGTAAATTATAATGTATACGTTGTTAAAAACTTATACTGTCCAGCATAAACTAAATAAATAAATGCCAAACCACAGAGGTTCTACTCTGGAACGTCCACACACATACTAAGCTCGCCACGTGTTCGCGAACAAACCCTTTGAAGTTACCGACTCGACCCGGAACTTGAACGAACAGCCGAGCTGTTCTAGAACTGTTCGCGAACTCGCGTACACACTAAGCTCGGAAAAGTGTTCGCGAACTATTCGCGAACAGCTCGCGAACTTGGTCTGTACCCAGCTTAAGGGAGCTACGTTATTTCAATTTGATTATTTAACATAAATTATGTTAAATAATCAAATTGAAATAGGTAATTTATTATATGTTATTTTTACATCAAAATTGTCAAATATATTCTTCTTTTATTAGGATATAGGTACATTAAATTTAAAAAAAAACGCAAGAAATATTTTATAAAAGTAGAGATAATTTTAATAATTGACACGTTTGGACGGGACAAGATAAATATTTTTTTGTCCCTTCCACACCTTTCAATTATTAAAATTATCTCTACCTTTATAAAATATTCCTTGCGTTTTTTTTTTATTTAATGTATAATATAAGAAGAATATTTTTGATGCCAAAATATTATATAATAAATGATATACAATTTTTTTTATAAAAACAGTTTTATAATTCGTGCGTTTTGCGCGCTTGAAATGACCCTTTATATAAAAAATTTGTAATTGGCGCTTGGTTCCTTTTAAACAAATATGGTCCAGATATTGTTTTGCCGTTAATTAGTTGTAAAAAAATTAATTTTGTCGTTCGAATATTAATATTCTATTATGTTAAATAATCAAAGTGAAATAACCTTTTCTAAAAAATAAATAATTTCACTTGGTTCCTTTTAAATAAACATGATTACTATTAAAAAATTATTCATGTAATAAGTGGAGCGAGTGCAGCCAAAAAAACAAAAAATTATTAAACGACAAAATCAATGTATTCACAACTAATTAGCAACAACGACAAAATTTTAACTACAAAAAAAATTAATAACATATTTAATGAAGGTGCCTTGCTAACTTCATTTGCTAACTTCATATGAAGCACCCATAAAAACAAAGAAATATTCGAACGACAAAATTAATTTATTCACAACTAATTAGCGACAAATTAACGTAAAAATATTAACTATTAAAAAAAAATGTAATTACATATTTAAGGGGGTGTCTTGCTAACTTCATATGAAGTTAGCAAAGCACCAATAAAAACAAAATTAATTTTATCACAACTAATTAACAACAAATTAACGGCAAATTATGCACCTAATCGCTTCTTGATTGGGGATGGATGCTTTGCTAACTTCATATTCATGCGGTAAATATCAAAGAAAACATTTCTCGGACGTACCTTATTTCTAAAATTGTGTGTATCTGTAGGGTAGGTAGGTACGTATACCTGCGTATACCTATACCCTGTATGTTTTTGTTAAATTTACGAGATAACGATTTGTAGGAAAATAAAAGAACAATAATAATAACAATAATTGTTTCTAAATATTGCAACACACTGAAGTAGACGGATCTTTAGCTTTGCAGCTATACAATAATATGAGCAAAAAGATTTTCCTTGGAATAGTGTTTTGTTTCCATAAAAAGGTTAAGGCAACTAAATTAAAAAATAATCGAAATCTTTAAATCACTTTTGTCCAAATAAAATAAAAATAAATAAAAAAAACTTACGTAAATTGCAAACACAAAAAAAGCATTAAAAACAAACAAACTTTTTAGTAGGCCCATGGTTAGCTTGATTTAAGGTACTTGAATCTTCGGTGTTTTTAACGATCTAGGCATAAAATAGTAGGCGTACAAAATTTATTCTGTTTCACAAATGATAACAACCAGAACACCAGTCATGTGCAATGCACATTGGGCGCCTCGGAGCATTGTTCCAAATTAAATATTTTCGCCATAGACATTAACTGTCTAGCAATTTGCAGTTGATATGCGGTGTTTATTTTTGTCGATAGTATTGTCAAACAATTTGTGTGTTGTGCACATTTAACATTAATGATTTTGAAAAACTGTCTTGTTTTGTGCCAACTTTGACATTACAGATTAATAATAATAATAATATTAATAATAATAACGTTTATTTCCCAACAGTATAAGACCAAAAAGCCTTGAAAAAGGACATTTAAATAAACAGATAAAGTTTACAACATTTTTTTAAAAAAAGTGGTGAATACCACACATTAAGTTCACAAACACCATTAAAGTTGTTGCACATAACTTAAACTGGTGACTTTGTATAACATTTTTTGTATTTGATCAAGGAACAAAAAAGTTTAAAAGTTAAAGGAGTATTTCCTACTCGGTACCTACGAGCCCGGAATCATATTATTTGGCCCGGACAATATTTTATTTTTTACATTATTTCAGACAATATTGCAATACCATGGTAAACACAAAAGAAAAATCTATTGAATCCAACAATAATTATAATAATAGTTATATTCAATACATTTTTTTTGTCTTTACCAATATCCCAGAGAGCCATATCAACTTATTAGAGGCCAGGTGCAAAAAAAATGCGGGGCTTGAACTAAAAATTTACTCTTGAAAATTAACATATGTAGCGCTTAGCGGCAATAAACCACTAAAACATCAAACGAAAAACCAATTGAAGGGGTTAGAGCTGAAACCGCCCAAGTGAATTTTTAAAGTCGTTAAAGCGTGTTACCGGATAGTAGAAAATTTTGACTTACTTGGGTGGTTCAGCTTTTCCCATCAATTAATATAGAAATTAACGTTTAAGAAAAAATCACACATAATTTTTCCCTGCTGTAGCTCTTTTCCAACATCCTTCTCTATTGACAAAATAGCCAAACCTACTAGTCGTTCTTGGCACATATCTTCTTGATTTAAATATTTTTTATTAATTTTAATTTTGAAAAACTCTTTTCCCGGCGTAATAATAATTTTTTTAAACGGATACAGGCAACTTCAAATACACATTTAGCAACATTGGTCTGAATGATAATAGATGACGATACCTACTAAAGATATTATCTTTGGCAATGACCAGATATTATTTTGTCACGCTTTGCTTACAGCTTGCTGTTGCTAAAATGTACAATAATTTCGTTAAGACGCCTTGATGCGCGCGGGGCCTATAAAACGCGGGGCCGGGTGCAACCGCACCGTTTGCACATGCCTCACGCCGGCACTGATATGATATCAGGTTAAAACATGGCCAAGAATTGCCCATTACCTTTGGAAAAGTTTTGCCAATAAATGTACTATGTAGGACTGTATATTCCTATGGTATTTGTGCAATCGCGATGGCCAACAATAAATGACCAAATTGTGCCCAATAATATGCCAAAGCAGTTTGCATAAATTAGGTAGGTTACCGTTGGTTTAATTTTGGGAATGTTTGGGCATGGAAAAACGATGACAAATTTTTGATCTTTATTTGGGCAGTTAGGCAGTTAGGAAAAATTGACCAAATATTGATAAATATTTGGACAAATCCAAAGTACCTATTAACAATTATTATTATTATATTTGAAAGAATATTACTCTTTTTCTCATTTATATTAAAATCCATTAATCTATCTATTAATTTTTTGGAGAGTATTTGAAAATTGGGTAAATAAAACGCTTTTTATAAAACAAACAAAAAAATTGTATTTATATTTTTTAATTATAATAAAAAAATAAAACAGTATGTTCCAATACTGGAACAGTGGTCAAAAATAAAATTAAAAAAAAACAAATGTATAAATAAAAAATATTTAAAATAATCAAAATTGAAAAAAATATTGTTTTTTTATGTTGAATCCCAAGCAGTGATTTAATTGTTTTTTTGCAATAAGGCTTTTTTTTGATTTCGGACCCGTTGCTTCGCGTTGTTTAAGGCCACGTCAAAGGACCTCTGGAATTCTAAAGCCCCTGGAGGAGGAAATTTATCATGTTCATGTAAACTCTAAAAAATACTTTAAGTAACAAAATTGTCTAGGAAATAATATTAAAATATAAAACATACATGTCAAAATTACCAAAGTACGGAAAATTCATTTCTTCATGTTCAACCCTCTACGAATAAATTTAAAAAAATTATCCCCTTAGGCTCCTATTCAGAGGGCCATAGCTCCGTTAGGGGGCATTTTTTGATACATGTTTACAAAAAAGTGTTATTTTTCTATGAAGAATGCACTGTTTAAGTTTGGCCCCCTAATTTCAGGACACCCTGTATACCTATCTATAGATTTCTTTAAGTGCAGATGTATTCTTGGTTGAGTTTTTCTTGTTTGACGGGTCAACACAAATTGTGTTACACAATTTTTTAAATTAAATTACCTATGTTACGTTTCATTACATTACTTTAAATGCTGGCTAAATCCACCTTTATACTTGTTATAATATTATGATACAAATAGAATTACAATCAGGCTATCAAGAATTATGCTTTATTAAACATTAAGAACTTATTGTAAAATAGTTTGTGATTGGTAACTTTATGTTATGAAGAACTTTAAAAATAAAAAAGAAATAAATTTTTAAATTCAATAAAAAAATTGCAATTACCTTGCTCACTTCTAGCACAATAGATCTTAAAACCCAATAAATGTGACATATAGGTAGAAAATTTATTTTTAAATTGTCCTGCTTGTAGTAAAAATACCCATAAACACTATTTACCTGCAACTTCAAGATGAAAATTAACAAACAATAAGTACATAATATAGAACTACCAATGTATTACTTCAAAATTATTAAGGGAATAAAATCTTCGAGAAGAAATTGTATAATAATTGAATGTTTTATTCACAGGTGGTCTGTGGTTTTATTAAAAACTTTGAAAACATAACCTTAATTACTTACTCAAAATTTAAAGCCGTTTAAAACTTAACACGTTTAGTTAGTGCACAGATGATTATATTTTTTTGTAATAACTATCACACAAGCACTTTTTGACGCCTTTTTGTAGAGAAGGTCTTGAAATATTAACGACATATAACTCGCCATTGCGATTCTTTTTCCATGCTGATCAATAATTATTATTTGCCAAGTTTCGATCAATCTGAATTACAAACGCTTTGCCAATTTTCGACCAAACTTCATTACAAACGACGTTGGCCAATAATAACTCTATCTAGGACTGTATATTTGTGTAGTTTTTGTGCTATCGCATTGGAAAATAATTTGGCATAATACATGTCAATTTTTGGTCAAACTTTATGAAAAAACAATTAATACCCACATAACAATAAAATATACATAGGATATACATAGGATATACATCTATGCATATTCGTATATTCGCGAATATCGTATGTATATACCATGGATATCCATAAAATATGATTTTGTCCTCTATTTGGATATCCATAGTATATCCATGACGTATATCTTATGTATATTCCTGGATGTCCATAATATATCCATGACATATATCAAGTACATTAAAAAACTCGTAATATGGACATCCATAGTATATCCATGATGTATATTCCTGAATGTCCATAATATATCCATGGTATATATTATGTATATTAAAAAACCCGAAAATGGATATCCATAACATATTGTTATTATATTAGGGTATGTAATAAAAATCTTGAAAAACAAAAAAAAATATTTTTTAAAAATAAACAAACAAAAAAAATATTTTTTTTAAATAAACAAAATAGAGATGACGCCTCTTGATTTTCCTAAAAATAAAAAAAATATAAATGCACTTCTCATTGAAAAAGAAATAAAAATAAATTCTTACCCATAGCGGATTTTTAAATTTAGCAAGGAGGCGCCTTACCACTACCAAACCAGTCATAAATCAAAAACATACTCAATACTTAAAAACTTAAACAAGATTTTCTGCATTTTCGATAATTAAACGTCAAGTCAATGCGCATGTCACATGGTGTGTGCATTATTTTTAAAATTTAAACTACCTGTCATATTTGTTAGGTTAAGTTTAAGTTTGTTCTCTTATAAATACTGTGAGTAAATAGTGCAGACGCGTAGCGGAAATTTTCAACACAAAATCGTTGGAAAAAGTAGCTCAAAACGGGATTTTTTTAAAACTAATTCAAATACCCAAAAATTTAAATAAATTTTACACAAAAATTAAACAGCAATAATAAAAATTTAAATTTATATTACAGTGTTTATGTTTCCACATAGTTTAATTTTTTATACGTTTGTCTTGTACTTAGTTTTTTGTTTAAAAGTTATTTATTTTTTTAATTAATTTTATTATTTTTCTATACAAGAGGGAATTTTTCAAACAAGTGGAGAAAAAACGATTTTTCAAAAGATATATCTTACACTGATTCCAGTGTATATTCTAAGCTTATAACATAAAATTAAAAAATTTCAGTAAAAAATTAAAACTATAGTATACTATTATAGTATAATATACTATATTTATATACTATAGTTATAATTTTTTATTATATAAAAGTTATACAAAGTACCTATGTCCATAAAATATCCATAAATGGATATACATGAAAAAATGTATCAAGTACATCCATTTATGGACATTTTATGGATATACATGAAAGAATGTATCAAGTACATCCATTTATGGACATTTTATGGATATACATAAAAGAATGTATCAAGTATATCAATTATATGGATATACATGAAAAAATATATTCAGTAAATCCATAAAATATTCACAAATGGATATACATAAATGAATATATCAAGTATATCCACACTCAGAGAAATATCAAGTTATGAAGAGCATATGAAATTATATTAATTTAAATAATCGGGTAAATTTGATTCAAATAGAAAAAATTTTAGTTTTACATTCATTTACCAACAGTTTTACAATGTTTTGAAACACTTTTAAAGTGTACCCTCTTTAAAATATATATACAAAAAGAAATCCATTTATTTCATTGCCTTTCTCAAAGTTGTTT